TTTCACTAGTTCACATTTAGTGTTCGAGGCTTCTCTTTCTCTTCTCTCTTCTTGGGAAACTTTTATTCAACACGGGGATTGGATATTCCCATTTGCTGCTGTCCAAATGCCCAGCTGGCTTCCTTAATGGAAAGAAATAATTGCTCCCCTTCCACTGGAGGTTACTGCATAATTGTTCAGCACAGGGCTTTCTGTAGGCTTGGAAAGATCAGCTTTTTGTTGGTAAACTGTTCATTTCACTGTACACAAACTAGTGAAAAAATATTTCCATCGGAATTTACAGACAGGCAAAGAAAGAAAAATGCCGCTGGAGAACTTTTGAGAGATTGGTTTAAGGAGATTTCCTTGGTTTGTTTTGACGTGACATTGACCATTTGTGTTTTAACGGTTTTAAAACTTTTGAATCTCAAGATCTACTGTCATGAAATCATTATTGTCTGATGTGTTCCCTCCACTGTCTGATCACCCAATAATTCCCTGCAGCTGTGAAAATTTAAAGAGATAGAAATAAAAAAATACTTAAATAAACATCAATATTATCTATTAAAATTATAAAAAATAAAAATGGAATTCTGCCAAGCCCAGTTTTCTAGCATTCTCCTCTAAAGCAGCTGGCACTGACCAGTGGGGGGGGATTGGGTCCCACACCAGATGGGCCGTTCGGCTGATCCGGCCTGGCAGCTCGGACACAGCTCTGGTAGTTAGCATTTCTGGCGGTTCTCTCTCTGCTGCTGTGACCTGTGACTTTGACGGTCTTCAGTCATGTGGCGCCTATGTGATGGATGCATTAGAAACACCTAACGAGACGTGTAATCTGGATACTTGTCAGAGCTTTCTGCAGTTCCGAGTGGAATGACAGTGCTTGACTGTAACAGAAGTTTGCTCTTCCTGTGTTTCAGATCGGTGGGGGACAAACCATCAATACCAACCTCTTGAAAGTGACTGTTGGAGTTATTGAGGAATCACGGAAGCTGAAGCTGCAGCCCTTTAACGAGTACCGGAAGAGGTTTTCCATGAAGCCCTACAAATCCTTCCAGGAGTTAACAGGTCAGATTTCATGGTCTACGTGCTGCCGCTGGCAGTGTGTGTCCAGTAAGGGGCTAGCACTGCCCTTGGGGTTCCCTCGGCCCAAGGCAGCCACCTCACGTACAGTGAGAGATCACCGAGCACAGACACACAGCTCATCCAATCAGTGGCCCCTCTGTAGGCTTTCAAACTGATTGATGTATAAACATCCCGCCACAGCTTACTACTACTCACCCCACTCTGAGAACTGCCAGGGACTGCCTACTTGAAAGGATTGTTACCTGCTGCAGGGCAGGTGGGTGGGAGGGGCATGGCCCCGAAAGTCAGTCAGACCATTCAGTTGGTGCTCTGGGTTACAGAGAGAGAGCAGCTGAAAAGTCCTGTGTCTTGTATGGATTTGGAACCTCCCTTCTCTGTTGATGCAGGAGAAGAGGAGAAAGCAGCGGAGCTGGAAGAGCTATATGGAGACATTAATGCCTTGGAGTTTTATCCTGGTTTGTTGCTTGAGAAACGCCAGATAAACTCTATTTTTGGGGAGAGCATGGTGGAGATTGGAGCCCCGTTTTCCCTGAAAGGGCTTTTCGGAAACCCGATCTGCTCCCCGGAATACTGGAAGCCCAGCACTTTTGGTGGCTCGACTGGCTTTGAGATTGTGAAAACAGCTTCGCTCCAGAAGCTCGTGTGTCTCAACGTCAAGCGGTGTCCATATGTGTCATTCCGCGTGCCAGATCCTCGCACAGAAACAGGAGCAACTGGTGAGCATCAAGACGGCAAACCATCCACTGAGCTCTAGTGTCACTGCGGCTCCACTGAGGCTGGGCCAATGAGTTTCCTCCTTCATTATTGTCCTAACGATTCCTGTTGTACCACATGGCCTCAGGTACAAAGCCCTCCCTTGCAGAGAGAGACAGGCACAAAGGAGGAGGACAGTATGCTCCTTGCACCATGTATCAATAGAATAGGAGGTCCTCTGCTTCTGGGCATTATCCACACCCAGGGCTGGGAGAGGGGAAAGGAGAGGGAGGCTGGTATTAGATCAGGGAGAGCCTGAGTCATCTAATGCTACAGCCACAATAACGGTCTATCTCCACTCAAGCTGCCTCTTCTGCTAGCAAATTGCCTGCTCTAAGCCAGCTCTCTGTTTTCCGGTGGACTCTCTGCCTCTCCTTTGCTCTCAGTACCTCCCCCACACCCTTGACTGCCCAAGGAAGCTATCACAAGTACTTTTCCTACACCGGGACTGCAGGGCAACCTATGCCCACCAGCTAGGCGGGGGCAGAGCAGTATGCAGCCACTCTTCTGCCCCAGCTGGCCATCACACTTGCTCATCCCTCGGGCTGCTCTTACTTTCCAAATGGTTTGTGTGTTTATATATTGTGGAACGACCACCCCAGAGAGCATCCTTAGGAACCACAAGAATGAGGATTTTCTCAGAGGGTCTCTGGTTTGGACAGAGAGGGAAAGAAAATCCTCCATAGCCCACTCAATGCCTCAGGGCTGTTCCCCTTCTCCCACACACAAAGGCAAGGTCAGTAACCCTTCCATGGCTTTAAGAATGTCTGGGAGGGGCGGGGGGTGAGAGCAGACCCCAGTGTGTTTCTGCAGGATATGGCTGGAGCACACGTGTCCTGTACAGGTCAGAGCCTGTCCTAGGTTATTCCTTATACAAGCCAATCAGAGCTCATTCACTTCTCACATGCCCAGCTCAGCCAGTTTTCAAGCACTCTGGGCAAGCTAGCAAAAGTGATCACCTGAACTGCAGGTACAATTCGGCACCAGCAGATAACTGTGCCTGGAAGAGCCCGCTGTCCGGCTTCGGGAACCAGGTCCCGTTAACATGCTGAGTGGGCTCTGGCAATAAATAGAGTGCGACCTGATTCGGTCTTTGCCAATGCAAGGTGGAAAGCTAAGTGCTTCTGAGAGCGCAGGAAAGCTGTTGAGTTTCATGCTTCTTCGGAAACATGTGAGCTCCGTTCTGCAGCATCATGTGGCATTTAAAATACAGCTGGGAAGTAGATATTGCTGAGGAGTGAAGGACTGGGGTAAAATCTGTCAGAGCTGATGGAAACCCCACTGAATGGACAATTTAAACCTAGACCAGCCAAAGAACCACACCAATGTACCACAGGGAGCAGTGCTTAGGTGCCAACTAGGCAATCTCCAAATAGGCCTTTTCTGCCTCTAATTGGATTGGGTCCGCATTCTGTCCCCCTGACTCGCTCTGAGAAGTACCCCACTCCACAAGCGGTTCCATTGGCTCCATAGAGGAAGGTACTACTCAGTGCAAGCAAGGATGTCAAAATCTGGCCCTTTGAATCTATGGGTCCTAAACTTCCCTGGTGTAAATAGATCAGAAAATTCTGTTCCGAGAGTACATATGCCCTGCTTCAGGCCTCACGAGGTTCCCCAATCCAAAGCTCAATACAGACCTAGGAGCATTGTTTTCCTGCCTTATACCCCCCATTTCCAACAGCCACTGGTCTGCGCCTCAGTAAATACAAGGACTGGTGATGAGCAGAGACGTTCTAATCCCCAGGTTAACATTGCAGACATGCAGCTATTGGAGTGATAGGTTTGTTTGGAGGGTCTGAACACTCCCATGATCGCTTGTGACAGAGCGGTCAGTTGTGATCCCAATAAAAGACAAGGTGATTTCACCTCCAGGCAGATGGAGAATAACGGCCTGCTGAGTTCTTCCAGAAGAGTTTCAGGCATCCACTCACCAGACTCAAGTGCTAAAAAGAACATGACGTGTGCAGAGGAGCTGGCAAAATCACTGGCATTGGGGTGAAGGGTCCCATTCCCAGAGATGCTCTGGCCAGGGTACAGCACGTAGCAACGTGGGAGTGGGTACTGGTGATGCTCTGTAGCATTCTGAACGTCTCCGAAGGTCTACATGCAAATATCCTTTGCTTTAAGAGAAGCCCTGGGGTGTACTCACAGGGAGCCTGTTCCCACTCTCTCTTCCCATCTGCCATATCTTAGCACCCTTTATTCCCCGGCACCACCTTCCAGCTCTGCTCCAGCCACCTAGCCCTCCTCTTGTTGTGTGGTCAATAGACCCCCCCTCCCCCCAGATGAAGCACTGATCTCCCTGCTGTGTACAGCCCCCTCTCTCCTGTGCAGCCTGTCCACACCATAGCTGCTGTTGTGTTCACTGCTGTTGATGAACTTACCGTTTGCTGACATTTCATCCATGTTACCAGGGGTTTATTTTAAAACTCCAGATGCTGACAACACAGCGCTTACATGCTTACACAGCGTCTCTCTAGCATAACATCTATCCCTATGTTAATCTCCCCCAGCAGGGTTCTGGGTCCACACCACAGAGCGAGACATCCGATCAGTCATGATTTCACACATCTCCATGCCAGACACACGGAATGCTTCCTGTAGGGTTCGTTGCACTTCTTCCGTTCCATCATAACAGGACTTATTCTGCTTCAGTGACACGGCGCTGCAGTGTTTGTCTATGATCTCGCTGTGTCCTTCCCTGGATGCTCCCAGGACACAGGGCTTTGCAATCTGCACAGTAAAACAATGGTCTGGTGACTGTCCTCAACTCATTCTCTAAGCCAAGCGTGTCCCAAGCCCCAATTGTGACTCGATTCGATGGCTTGGAGCGACTTCTTGCTATTTCTGGCTCGACATTCTGCAGCTGGGGGTTTTGTGGCTGATGCAGCACAGAGGAGAGCGACTCAAAAAGCCGAAGACAGGAGCAGATGCGGCGGACCAAAGAAACGGAGGTCATGGTAAGAACAAGTATCAGAGGGGTAGCCGTGTTAGTCTGAATCTGTAAAAAGCAACAGAGGGTCCTGTGGCACCTTTAAGACTAACAGAAGTATTGGGAGCATAAGCTTTC